CAAATTATGCTTTGGCACAATCGCTTGGGACATCTTTCTTTTAGTTCTTTGAAATGTCTTCCCAAAGCTGTTTGAGTCTGTTCAATTATCTACTTTGGAGTGTGAGAGTTGTCARTTAGGAAAGCATTGTASACARTCTTTTAAACCAAGTAATAAAAGAAGTACTTCTGCTTTTAATATTGTTCACACTGATGTATGGGGACCATATCAAATCTCTTCCATGGGAGGATTCCGTTACTTTCTCTTGTTTGTGGATGATTATACACAATATTCTTTGATATATTTGATGAGATCACGTGATGAGGTTCCTAACTTAGTACGACAATTCCACCAAATGGTTCTCACACAATTTGGGAGTGAGAACTAAGGCTTTTAGATCAGATAATGCCAAAAAGTACTTTGAGAAGGACCTAACCATGTATCTCTTAGAATATGGTGTAGTTCATCAGAGCAGTTGTGCATATACACCGCAACAGAATGGAGTTGCTGAGAGGAAAAACAGACACATTGTGGAGGTGGCAAGGAGTCTTATGGTGTGTGCTTCAGTTCCTGTGCAGTTCTTACAGCCGTACATGTGATTAACTGTGTTCCTTCACGGACTTTGGGGTTTAAGGTGCCATTTAGCCTTCTTTTTCCAAATGGAGAGATATTTTGTATACCTCTGAGGGTTTTTGGTTGTGTTTCTTTTGTTCACATTCTTGGCACTCATCGCAAGAAATCGGATCCTAAGGCCAAGAAATGTGTTTTTCTTGGGTATGCTCAGAACCAAAAGGGGTATTGATGTTATGATCCATTGTCGAGGAGCAGATTTGTCGCTATGGATGTTACCTTTTTTGAATCCACATTCTTCTTCTCGAGTGGTTCTCCTCAGGGGGAGAGTTTTGGGGAGAACTCACAATCTGTTCCTCTTCCTGTTTCTGTAGTGCCTCCATCAGTTCAACCAGCATCTATATCAGTTCAGCCAGCACCTACACCACCAGTTCAGCCAGCACCTGCACCTCCAGTTTCATTACATGAGCCACTACGAGCAACCTCACAGCAATATTAGTGCCGGCAGATGATGGTTGACTCCACACATCCTCGACCCACACCACTCTCTATCAGTCCTTCTGAAACTCCAGATTCAGCAGATACAGTTCCAGGTATTCCTCTTGAGCCTGAGCCTGTTAAGTTTTATGATGATAACGTTTCTGTCCCTAACACCATTGTTGCAGTTGATTCCACTGACCTTAATCTTCCCATTGCACTTCGTAAGGGGGAGAGAAAGTGTACAGCCCACTGCATTTCACACCATCTTTCCTACAGTGCCTTATCACCCTCCTACCATGCTTTTCTTTCTTCCCTGGATTCTGTGTCTATACCCAGGAATGTTACT